ACAGTGCTGCCGCCGCTAACGCTGGAGAGTGTGCTGCCGCCGCTAACGCCGGAGACGGTGCTGCCGCCGCTAACGCTGGAGAGGGTGCTGCCGCCGCTTTGCGTGCTGCTACTGGAAAGGGTGGCAGTGATGCCTGTGGACGGGCTTCCCGGGGTTTCATTTTCATCATTCGTTATCTGGAGGAGTGCTCTCCCTGTGCCGTGTCGATGACGTCTGTCCTTTGGGTGGCTGTCAGTTCCTGTTTTCAGTGAGATTTCGGATCAGATATCTCGCAGGTTGACATCAAGCTTCAAGATTGCGATATGTTGTTCAGATCACTTACCATGAAGGAGAAGTAAAAAGATGAATGTTTTTATGATCATTGTGATGCCTTTCTGAACGCTGGAGATGGTGCTGCCGCCGCTTTGCGTGCTGCTAATGGAAAGGGTGGCAGTGCTGCCTGTGGACGGGCTTCCGGGGGTTTCATTTTCATCATTAGTTATCTGGAGGAGTGCTCTCCCTGTGCCGTGTCGATGACGTCTGTCCTTTGGGTGGCTGTCAGTTCCTGTTTTCAGTGAGATTTCGGATCAGATATCTCGCAGGTTGACATCAAGCTTCAAGATTGCGATATGTTGTTCAGATCACTTACCATGAAGGAGAAGTAAAAAGATGAATGTTTTTATGATCATTGTGATGCCTTTCTGCTTCCGATGCCTCAAACAAAATCTGATAATGTCCTGTAAAAATGATGAGAAAGCACAACATTTGAAGGTGACATTCAGCGACTTCCAAAAATAGTCTCTTTTTCGCAAGGGCTGCTCAATCTTTCTCATGCTCTCAAGATATTGTGTCGAGGGTGTGAGGGGGAAGCGTTCGACCTTCAAACTGTTGTCCATGCTTTCCTGCACTCAAGAAACGGACGCCCATGAGACAAATGACTTTCTCTTCATTGTTCTCACTTCAAACAAGAGTCGTCGAAAATGATCAAATGAGAACCAATCACAGCGACCAAAAAGCGGGGCCGACTGGAGCGGGCATACTCTGGGGAAACCTCTTTCCACAATTCAAAAAAACAGAGCAAGTCCCCTGAGCTTCAAAGGAAGCAGGAAGACGGAATAACACAAGGCAGAGTGCAAAGAAGCAACATCTTGGAAGGAGCTGGAGACGCTTTGAAAAACGAGACGTTCAAGTCTTCAGCGTCCGAGCTATTGGACAAACGTTTCCACGCATCCAAAGTCACTTCCACCATCACACCCTCATTCCTCTGTGGCTGTCCGCGGGAGTTGAAATCTTGTTTTTCTTCATACTTTTCGACAAAAAGTGGGATTTTCCTCCGCGGCCTCAACAATATCCTTGACCAAGTTGCCGCTTTCACCCGCAGCAACGACAACGCCCCTGTTCCCGCTTGCCATCGGGTTCCAGGGTCTGGTTGTCAGCGCGGACGGGCCGTGTCGTTCCGGAACCACATTGGTAACATTCTCGCCGCCCCCGCGCCAACTTCCATCTGTGCATCCACCTTCGCCCACCACTCGACCCATACAGCGCCGCCATCCCGGTTGCATCCCCGTTCGGACGGCCTCGTTGCCGCTTGCCCATAAGCTCGACCCATAAACTCCAACAACCAGAGCGGCCGGCCGCCCGTCATATCTCATGGGCTCGGCGACGCCGCTGGCTTTCAACCCGTCTTCTCTCTATCTGACCGAACCCCCGTCAACAATGCCAGCGGGACTCGCAGGTCCGCCTCCTCCGTCAGCCTCATCGAGCTCCACCTCACCGCCGCAGGGCCCGGAGCCTCGCCTTCAGCCGCCCTGCCCCTCAACTCCCTTCGCCTGTCCCGACATCAGGAACGCGGACGTCTTATTATCCAAAAGTTCAAACCTTCCTTTTCAGCTCAGCCGTTTTTTTTTTTTTTTTTGTAGTTGGCCCCTGCTGTGGTTGTACCGATGGTCGGCGGCAAAGCCTTTGTCTGCGTTTGTTTGCGGTATATTCGATGGTTATTTCACCCGTGTTTGAAGTGCCACGTACGGTGACCTCGCGGTGGCTCGAAAGGAACCTCGTAACATTGACCGGAGGGTCCTGGATCAATCCCTTTCACCTCCTTCTACCAAGCGTACCGCCGAATCCGATTTCCAAATTTGGACCTTCTCTCAACAGAACACCTCTTGAAGATGGAGAATGTACTCACCACACTCACTCCAGTCAATTGTTCGATATCCTGAGCGGAGCTCGACTCAGTCCTTTACGTTTCAGCTTCAGTCCTTCTCCAAGGTTCAATGTCGTCTTGCAGGCGCATGGCGTTGGCTTATGAAGAGCGGAAGCAAAGTCTGGTCACGCCCTCCTTTAAGGTGAGGCCTCAATTATTCCCGCTTCTACTTCTCCTCCTCCTCCAGCAGACGAGGAATTGTTGGCATTGTGAGTCAAGAAGTGAATCTTGTCCAGCTACATTTTTTTTTTTTTTTTTTTTTTTGCAACCTGCAATTAACCCATTAGGCCACTGACGTCATGTTGGATGTTTCAGAAGTGGAACAGGTTGCAATTGGGAAATTACCATCCGACTATTTTCGCTTTCCCAAAGTTTTCCTTGGAAACCGCCAGTGACGGCGAGCTTCTGTGGGGATGGTGTGGGAATGTCGGGGAAGATGGCGACGTGGGAAGCCTCCGCCGGCCCATCGGCAGCAGTGACGCGCCCGGCGTCATCTGTGCGGTGAATGGGACCGGTGATTGCTGGGAGTCGCCCTGACCAAAGGCCTCGACGCCTTCCTTCTGACGGGCCTCTAGTCGAGGTTTCTTCCTGTCTGAGGAAGGTTACTTCGCGTTTGAGGCTAGGATTGGGGTGAGGTGACTTTGTGTCTGAGGAACTGATGGGTGGCTTTCGTTCGGATCCGCTCAGCTGTGTAGGTCTCGAGCCCCGCTGGGTCCAAAGCGCCGTACTCTGAAGCATAGGGAACGCACACCACGGCAAGCCATCAAGACAAACATCCATCACAAAGTAGAGGGTTGGGGGCTTAGGCGTATTGGCCTGATGAAGAACTGAGCGACTGGTTGGGAGCAAGGCTACCTCCTTCCTGAGACATTGCCCGCCAGCTCGTGTTCAAGGTTGCTTCCCGTTCTCTCAGAACTGAACGACCGGTTCTTGTTCAGAGTTTCTTTCGGGCTCCGCAAGCGTCGGGCTGATTGCGATCTGGGTTGCTCTGCATCTGAGGCATTGATTGAGTGCTTCTGTTCAAACTCGCTTCCCATCTGAGGAGCTGACCGACTTGGTTCTCAGAAAGGTGACTTCTGATCTGAGCAGGTGGGATGCCGGTTCCGCTCAAGGTTTCCTCCGGCCTTAGAGGAACTAGAAATGGGGTTCCGTTCTAGGCGACTCTCCAGCCGATTCGGTTTGAGGCTTCTCCTCTCATTTGCAAAACCGGCCGGCCAGTTCAAGTTTCCTTACTGTCTGAGAACCGAGCAACCGGCTCCGTTCTTGGTTACTCCATGTCATAAGACCTGACTCACTGGTTCCGATCATGTTCCCCGTCCCTCCCCCGTCAGAGGCGGTGACAAGGTGTTTCCGAGCCGGGTTATTTCCTCTGACGTCCCGTTAAGAGTTTGCTGTCAGCATCTGCCTGGATGAGCTCGTGTTAACGAACAAACAACAGCGAGCGAGCTGTCGTCACCGAGCGAAGCGAATGTTATGCGCAGAATGCGGTCGGGTGACAGCGCATGACGACAAAGCTATGATAATTAGCGCCTTAATTATCCACGCTCAAGCATCGTGATTGCAAGGTGTGGCCCTCCTTTAATTGCCGCTCTCCCGAAACAACAAGAACATACGTGTCCACTCCTTCGAACGGAATGGTAACGCTTCCGCGTCATGGTTTCATCTCGACTGAGCAACTGAATGTGCATCATCATCTGCGTGAAATGATGACTGAACGGAAATGGTCTCCAAATGATTGGTGACGACGTGTTTCCTTGATGACCGTTTCGTATTGCTTGCGTTCGTACCGGGTCTTTTTCACGGACAAGTGTGACGCAAGCGCTCGCGAAAGGCGTGGGCGATGAGCGTGCCAAAAGTCTCGTCGGCCTCATGGGGAGGAAAAACAAAACAAGAAACACCACGGGACAGGCCTATTTTTATCACTTATTGTGAGTTGATTTCACAGGTTTGGCCAATCTTTTCCGTCTTCCCAGGAGGAGCTCGCAGGAAGTCCTCCTTCCCCCGTTGCAAGTGACCAAAACAGGTCTTGGCATAGAAGTGACAGTGTGTTTTTCCATTTCAGAGTCTGTACTTGGTTCTCCACATATCCATCCATTTTCCGATCGGCTTTATCCTCACAAGGGTGGCGAGGGGGTACCGGAGCCTGTCCCAGACGTCTTTGGGCAGTAGGCGGGGGACACTCTGAACCGGTTGCCAGCCAATCGCAGGGCACAGCCACACACAGACCAACAACCATCCGCGCCCACACCCACACCCAGGGACAATTTGGAGTGTCCAATCAGCCTGCCATGCATGTTTTTGGAATGTGGGAGGAAACCGGAGTACCCGGAGAAAACCCACGCAGGCACGGGGAGAACATGCAGACTCCGCACAGGGAGGCCGGAGCTGGAATCGAACCAGATACGTCTGCACTGTGAGGTTGATGCGCTAACCACTCGGCTGCTATATGACACAGATATATATAAATCCTCGTCTCACCCCTCGGGTGGTGTCCATCCCCCATTCAGCTCGGGTCCTCTACCAGAGGCCAGGAAGCTTGAGGGTTCTGCGCAGTATCCTTGCTGTTCCCAGCACTGCGATTTTCTGGACTGAGATGTCCGATGTTTTTTCCGGGATCTGTTGAAACCACTCATCTAGTTTGGGGGTCACTGCCCCGAGTGCTCCGACCACAACAGGCACGACTGTCACCTTTACCTTCCAGACTCTCTCCAGCTCCTCTCTGAGCCCTTGGTATTTCTCTAGTTTCTCGTGTTCCTTCTTTCTGATGTTTCCATCACTTGAGACCGCTACATCCACTACAACGGCTTTTCTCTGCCCTTTATCTATGATCACGGTATCCGGTTGGTTCGCCATTCGCATCTTGTCAGTCTGTATCTGGAAGTCCCACAGGATCTTCGCTCGGTCATTCTCCACCACCTTCGGAGGTGTTTCCCATTTTGACCTTGGGGTTTCCAGTCCATATTCCGCACGGATGTTTCGGTAGACTATTACAGGCACCTGGTTATGGCGTTCCATGTATGCTTTCCCTGCCAGCATCTTACACCCTGCAGTTATGTGTTGGATCGTCTCAGGTGCCTCTTTGCACAACCTACACCTTGGGTCTTGTCTGGTGTGGTATATCTGGGCCTCAATGGCTCTGGTGCTCAGGGCCTGCTCCTGAGCAGCCAGGATGAGTGCCTCTGTGCTGTCCTTCAGGCCAGCCCTCTCTAGCCACTGATAGGACTTCTTGAGATCAGCCACTTCAGTTATGGTCCAGTGGTTGTCCTCCCATGACGGTCCCTCTTCCAGCACCTCGTCCTCTGTTCCCCATTGTCTGAGACATTCTCTGAGTACGTCATCCGTTGGAGCCTTCTCCTTGATGTATTCATGGCGCTTGGATGTTTCATCCTGGACAGTGGCTCTCACACTCACTGGTGTCCGGCCTCCTTCCTTTTGGCTTGTGTACAGTCTCAGGGTGCTGGATTTGGGATGGAACCCTCCATGCATGGTTAGGAGTTTTCGGGTCTTAACATCCGTGGTCGGAATCTCTCCCTTTGGCCACCTTATCATTCCTGCAGGGTATCTGATCACTGGCAGGGTATAGATGTTTATTGCCCAGGTCTTATTCTTGCCATTGAGCCGGCTTCTGAGGACTTGCCTCACCCGCTGGAGGTATTTGGCCGTAGCCGCTTTCCTTGTTGCCAGTTCGAGGTTGCCATTGGCTCGTGGTATACCGAGGTACTCCCGGCTATCTTTGGTTGGTTGATCAGGCCTACATTTGGGGTGAATGACAAGCTTTCGTGTTTCTTTGAAAGCCACACGAGGACCACCACGGGGGTAGTGTTGCCCCGTTGGGGGCAAATTATCGTCGTGGCGTGAAAAATGGCCGTTGGCCCCGAGTATCGAGCAACCTTCGCACATCGTCGTTCAACTATACGTCAGCACGCCCTGGCGGACAAGCGCGCCCAAAGACACCGGTCCGACGTGTGGCCTTTGGAGGAGCGGTTGTGTGAGGAGCAGTTGTCCAATGGACGCAATCGCACCGCGGCGAGTTTTGCTCACGTAAACCACCTCTGGTACAAAAGTTGATCAACTTCCGTCTTTTCGGCTCGTCGTAGCCACGAAGGATCCCGGGCGCCTTTGCGTCAACTCACGTCACATTTATGTCGCCCCGGATCGAGACGTATGTCAAACGGCTGTTGGGATTTCAGGGAGGAGCTCGTACCGAGACGACGGCGGAATAGATCCACATCAAACAGACGGCGCTATCGTCGGCACGGAAGCGGGCGTACGGGCGGCCGCGACGTGAACGGTCAAATGTATTTGGCCGCGCCGAGGCCAAAAGAAAGAAAGAAAGAAATACCTCACGTCAGCATGTGCGTTTTGGTTGACCTTGGCATTGGTTCCATGTTTCGCCGTGTCTACTCGTTTTCCTTGGCAGCTCTTCTCGCCAGCCCGACGGTCAACCGATCTGCCCCTCGTCGTCGCCTCAGTTCGCTTGGCTCGAGTCGCCTGCTTTCTTCGCTCGGTCACCGATGCGCCTTTGTTGGGGGGTTTGGAGCCACCACCCGTCTCGTCTATCTGCAAAGGATCATTTTGCCGTCAAAAGCCCCGATCGCTTGGTCTGTGTTTTTTTTTCTTTTTGGGGGGGGGGGGTACTTTGAGGTGCACCAAATTGTGAAGAGCAAGTCAACGTGGTTCTTGGCGCACAAAGCTCGCGCTCTCAGTATCCACCGCGATTAGCAGCAGTTGACCGTTTGAAACAGTTTGAATGTTGACAATTCCAAGACCCGAATGTACGCTAACAAAGGTGATGGACGACAACAGACACGGGCTAACAGAAGACGCGAGCGGCGAGCCAGGAGAAAGCATTGTGTAACATCTCTCGAGCACGGGGCAAGAAAAAAAGGTGCGGATGGCCAACTCGGTCCTGCCGCTAGGCGTTCGGAGACGTTCGAGCCCGAGGGCCCACAGCACCGCCTGCTGGACAGAAGGTGCAGCAAGATGGAAGGCAAAATAGGATCGCGGCCAGTTCCTGTCCTCCTTCCTTCCCTGCAGCAGTGTAACGTGCTCGTTTGAAAATTTCGAACCCATCTTGAGATGCGCTTCAATGATGGGAGAAGGCACAACGAATACGCTGGTGCAGGCCTGACGATTTCACGGTAACAATCGTTACCGGTAGCGTGTCGTTTCCGATGCCTAAACGATGAGCATACCACGACTCGACCCAAAGCAGAAGAGCTTCTATGACTGTCAAACCTCGTGCAACAATCGGAAGCATTTCCCGAATCGGTCACGTGCTATCACAGTCGGCGATTTTCTGATTTGTCTGTTTTGAGGTATTTTTGTGGCGTCTTGCCTCTTTTCTGCTCCACCCTGGCTGGACTCTCTGCAGCCCCCCTGTGGTCAGCTCAGGAAAACGCCAAACCTGTGCTGTGCTCCTTCCTGCCCACCCGAAAGAAGATTCGCGGGACACAATACCGGGGGGGGGTACGAAAAAGACAAGTGCTGACATGCCATGCAGGAATGTGTGTGAGAGAGAGATTAGGGGGGGAACACTAATCAAACACAGACAAGCATTACATGACCTTTGTCGGGTCCAAACCTCACACATGCTAATTAGTAAAAATCGGCAAAGCTTGTGCAGCAGCAGGGCGCCTGTCAGCATCATGACGACAAACAAACATTCCAGGATGATTGTGCGGCATGTTGGGGCACAAATATTTCAACGTTCCTGCTTGACACTACCTCTCTCACTTGACACACACACACACACACACACACACACACACACACACACACACACACACACGTGTCAAAGTGGAGAACTTTGGTTTTTATTTTATTTTCCCACAAGTAGATAAAACCAAAACAACATTTTGCGTGTTCAAAGCTATTTAAAAACCACACACACACACACACACACACACAGAAAATCAAAAGGTGGTGGTGGGAGCTCGCCACACGACATGCTGTGCAAGCGCACCAGTGGTGATTGACAGCTTATGCAAAATGTGGACAAATCACGCCAAATGGGTTCGGGAGCATGCGTGTGACCCGCGATGACCTTCAGCTCCACTTTTCACTCAATAAATACTTCAGTGCACGCACACGCACGCACGCACGCGCACACACACACACACACACACACACACACACACACACACACACACACGGCCTGAAGTTGTTTGAAAACGTTCAAAAGTTAGAAAAACATCAAAGCTCGTTTCCGGCCAAAAGTCACAGTTGGGTTTTTCCGTTAGCCGGTCACGACTTGTCCTCGCATTCCCGGGGGAGGGCCGCCATCCGAGCACAGAGGTGTCGGTGGTGGTGGCTGGCGGGGCGGGGCTGAGCAAACTGATTCTGTCAGCGGGGGAGGGGCGGAAGCGAGGTGCTCAGGTGGTGGTGGTGGGTGGGCGCGCAGGAAAACGTGTTGAATCCGACAAACAGATAAGTGACCAAAAGGAGGCTGGAAGGAGATTCCCGCCACAAAGCGTCCTGGTGCCGACAAGTGCTCACTCCTTGTCCTTGCGTCCCGCACGCATGGGAAAGCCACCAGGTCCGATGTTTGGACTGGAATCTCCTACACATGCGCCCACACACACACACACACACACACACACACACACACTTCTGTGATGAGTTAAAAAAACTCACAGGAGCAGGAGTGTCCATTTTTTCCCTATCCGAATGACATTGCGGAAATGGCCGCCACTGCTCGATGGCTTCAATGGGATTTTTGACACCTGCCGCCGTTGCCCCGGCAAACGGAAGATGACCTCATCGAGGGGGAGGGAGGAGCAAAACAAAATGGCTCCCGTGGAAAGACTTGAGGAGCGCTCGACTCAAATGGCTTTGGACAGTTCCCGCCTCCAAACTGGCTGATCTGCATCTATTTGAATGGTAACCCCGGCAACCAAGCGGCCTTTACTCATCGAATGCGTGCGTGCGTGCGAGAGACTTACCGGCAGTGCGTACCAAGTTCACTAGTACGGTGACTCCACCCTAAGTGCACAAAGACAAGCAACAAATGAAATGACATCATCAAATGTGTACATCACGTTTGCCAGTGTGTGCAAGAGGGCGTCTGCGTGCGTGCGTGCGTGCGCGTGACTGCGACAAGGTGCGTACCAGTGAGGAATGCTGTCGGGCAGCTTTTCAAGATGGCTGGGGGGGGCACTTTGGGCCAACCACACCACTGGACGGCACACGCACGCACGCACGCCATGTTTAGCCCTCGGGACTTTGTTTTCATTTCACACCATATTCATGGTGCGGAAAGTACGTTGTGTGCGTGTGCGCGTGTATGTATACGATACGCGTACAGCAAGCATCCGTGGGGATTGAGAAGAATTTCCTTAGCCCGATACACGCCAAACACACAGCCGGCCCCGCGCGTACTTACGGAACTTTCTGCCTGCAGTACACGACCATCCCGATGGCCAGGCCCAAAGCGGCCAGGATGCCGATGATGATTCCCGCGATGGCGCCGTCCGATAGGCCTTCGTCAAGCGCGCCTTCCTCTGCGCAAGAAATGGCAAGTGAGCGCCAAAGGACGGCCGGCACCAGAGGACCGCGAGCGGCGAAGGAACCGCGGTGGGCGTCGAGCGCGGGAAGGGAAGAAAAAGACGCGGGCGCAAGAGCGGCGGCCCCTGAAGCGGGCGGGCGGGCGGGCGTCTCACCTTTGACCGACAGGTTGTGCGTGTAGGCGGCGCTCTTCCCAGTGACGGCGTTGTGCGCCTGGCACATGTAGGCGCCCGTGTTCTTGTAGACGGCCTGGGCGATGGCGTAGGTGGACGTCTTGACGTCGGTCAGCGTCCCGTTGAACTTCCAGGTGAAGTTGGCGGGCGGCACGGAGGCGGCCGAGCAGCTGAGGGTGACGGCGTCGCGCACCTCCACGGCGGTCTCCCCGCTCACGCTCACCGCCTCGGGACCGACTACAAAGACGGCAAGTCAAGCCGGCGCCACGGCAAACGGCCGCGTCGCGGCCCCGGTTCCTTCGACTTTGGGGCCCCGCGGCTTTGCACTCACAGTTGACGACCATCTGGTAGGCCGCCTTCTCCGCGCTGACGGGGTTGGCCAGGCGACACTCGAAGCGGCCGTTGTCGTCCTTGTGCAGCGGCGCCAAGCTGAGCCAGGAGCCGTCGGGCGCCGCCGTCACGCGGGCGCCGCC